AGAGGTACGAGACATCCAAGTAAGTGCTATAATTAATTTTATTGATATTATGATATAGAAATCATGTCTAAGTTGTTATTATGATTGCTAGTATCATGTTTGGATGCTTTCCTTAATTTGATGTTTTAAATGACAACAATGATTCCTAGTATCATGTTTAGGGTGAAAGTTATAATTTCAAATATGACAATTATGATTTCTGCGATGCTTCCTATTTTCTTCCTAATATTCATGTTAGTATCATGTTAGGGCTAAAGCTTTGATTTTTATTTCTTAGTGACATGCTAGGGTTTGTTATTAATCTTGCTAGTATAATGCCTAGGATCTTGCTATTATTATGCTTTATTTTTAACATGAACATGATTATGATCATTATTATTATAATTGTTATGATTATTTATTGTTGCTTGATATATTATTTATTGCTTCATCATGCCTTTTATGCATGTTTAAAGGAAATTGGTACTTGTAATCATGCTTAACAAGATAATTATTAATCTTGTTTAGGGTTAATTTGATTATAATTCAAGTGATCGCCAATAATAGATTTGTTTGTGAATTAATATTCAACCAACATGTATTAAACAGGTTTACGGTTAACTTATTGATTGCATGTTAGTCAGAAAGCGCACATGGATACGATCTGTATAAAGTAGAGGTCTATTATTAGGGCAGGTTCAATATGTTTTAGGTTGGATTTGTACCTTCATCCCCGAACTTCCAGTCATGGTTCCAGACCTATTGGAGTTAAAGATCTCTTGGATCGTTAAGGGGTGTAAACTTCACCCTGTGAACGGTTTACAAGTTCCTAAAAACTGTTGGCGACTCTTTTGCTCTATCTTCCTTCCCTTTAGACGCCACCGTACTTAAATGTATGATCACAGTGGAGTTCAAGTTTGGGGTAATGCTTGAAATATTCCCTACAAACGTATATATCAATTTACCTGTTTTACCGAAGTTAGATATTTTTACAGTCCAATGGTGATAAGAATTGTCACAAGTGGAAGTCCATCAAATGGGTATTTTATTCAATTGATTAGCATGGGACATTAAAATTGAATGTTGCATAACCATAATTTTTTTAATGCGCTTTTCATACACTAAATTCAACTGATGGTCTAATGACTTGTTCCCACACTAAAATTCAATGTCTAACCATGATTTTGTGGAATGACATGTTCACACACATGCAAATACTATTTGTACCATTTTTTTCCCACACGAACAACTCATGGTTCGCTATAAATACCCAATTTTTAGTTTGTTTTTGCATCACAACACACATTTTCTTTTCCGTATTTTATTAACATTTTTTTCTTTTCTTTATTTCACCATAACTTGTGTTCACAAAAATTGGATTATGAAGGATTTTTTGCACTACCATAACATTCAAGAACCACATGAATAACTATATGGTAAGTTATAACATCAATCATTCCTATACTAACATGTCGTTTAAATGTCAAATAAAAAAGAGTACTTACATGTGCTTATGTTATGGTTGTCATTGTATAGGCACTTCCTAAAGAATGGAGATCGTTACTCAATAAAACTTCCGATTCTGTAGGAGTTATGTGTGGTAATCGTGGTCGTGCGTGGGATGTAACTATTCTTGGGACAGATGTTCTATCTAATCTACCAGTGATTCTTCATGTAGGATGGGATACATTTGTTACGAATAATTCCATTGTTATTGAAGAGATTTTGAAGGTTTATTATGCAGCATGCGGGTTATTTTACATTCGCGTTTATACAGCAGAGAATAAGGAAAGACTTCCAAATGTATGTTGCCGTAGAAATATAAACCGTTTGCGTTATATTTATCTTCAACTCTCGAATAGTGTTTATTTAGGGAAATTTGTTTTATTATCTTGTTTGTATTTGAAATAATAATATTGTTTGATATTTGAAATATAGTGGTTTTATGGTACCTTAGCATTTGATTTCCTTGCTGTCGAGGTTGAAGATATGGTTAAGCTTTGATGAGATGATTTGGAAATGGAGTTGTGTGTTTGTTTTGAAAGGTAACCCCTGTGTACCTATTTTTTTTTTTTTTTTTTTTTGGAAAATAAGATTTTATTACCAAAGAGAGAAAGTTACAACTTACAAAAGCTAAGTTATAACTACCACCAGAACACCAAAAGACCTGAAAACAACAGGCCACCCCCACAACCAGTTCTAGATCCAAACCTAGCCACCTTCTAGGAAGGGTTCTAGGAAGGACCTAGAACAACTGGACTCAGATTTCCGGCCACCTTCTAGGAAGGGTTCCGGAAACCAGGACCAGACAACAAACAACCAGAAAACAACCAAACCAAACACCCAAAAGACACCAAAACCAACAGTCAGTAGCAGACAAGCCGACAAACTGACAAGAAAACTAATACAACAAAAAGACAGCAAAAAAAAAAAGAACCAAAGCTAGCCTCAACTGCAGAAAATAAAGCACAAAACAGCAGCATAAAACAGCAAGGCAGACAGCAGTGCACATCAACACACAGCAGAGCAGCAGAGGCACAGAACAGCAACAAGCACTGCAGACCAGCAACAACAGCAAGCAGCAAGCACAGCAACCAGCAGCAGATTGCAGCAGCCAGCAAACAGCACAGCAGGACAGCACAGCAGGCAGCAGCAGAAGAAGACCAGCAACAACAGATCAGCAGCACCTGCAGCAGACAGACATCACAGCATGCACCAGACTGCAGCAGACAGCAAACCACTGCAGGCAGCAGAACACAGTAGGCAGCAGCAGATTAGCAACAGCAGCAACCAAACAACAGCAAAGAAACAGCAGCAGTAGACTGCATCAACAACAGTAGAAACACACCAACAGCACAGCAACACAAACCGCAGGCAACAGCAACACAGAAGCACAGCAAAGCATAGAAAAAGCCTGCAGAAAAGGAAACCAATACAAAAAGAAACAACGGGAAACCCAGTATTAGAACCCTAACCAAGGAAACCAGAACAAAAACACAAAGAGCCCGAGACAAGCCCTAAACGATCAAATATTTGCATCCCGCCGGGATTCTACAAACTGAGTGAAAGACAATATCTAGAACAAGAGCATCAACTAATTTGCAAAAACCAGTAAAGAGAACTGCATTCCTTTGAATCCAAATAACATAAACCGTTTCAGTGAAGGCCACCTGGATTACTTTATTCTTCAATCTGGAACTTCTGCAAATTTTCTTCATCCAATCAATCTCATCACTAAACATCCATTCAGACAAAGGAAACACTTTGGATCACAAGAGATGTGCCATTGAAGCAACCTATCCTTAGTGACAAGCCTATTCCATAAAGCTAGCCACAATATGAAAACACTCTTGGGAGTTGCTAAGTTATGGCAAGTAACTCTCTTCCAAGGAACTTTAGGCACTTGAGGCCTAATAGCAGCATAAAGCTTCTTGATTTTCAACTTGTTTCCCTGAACGAAACCATCCCATCCCCCTTGATCATTCACAATATCTCTACAACTCAAAATCTTCTTCAAGAACCAGGAGCATCTAGCAGGGGTAGGAGTGGTCCAACAATCTTTGTGCTTGAAATAGTAGATATGAACCCACTTAACCCAAAGATTATCAGCCTTGTGAGCAATATCCCAATAACTTAGTGACAGCCACTTTATTCCACTCAGGAAGAGAAAGCAGATTCCATCCACCACAAACTTTAGGAAGACAAACATTATTCCAAGCAACCAAAGACTTCTTAGCAGGAGCAGAGGATCCAGTCCAAAGAAAGCATCTGAACCTAGCCTCAATCTCTTTCAGAATTTTCTTCGGAAGAATAAAAATTTGAGCCTAATAAGTCTGTATACCAAACAACACACTCTTCACCAATTGAAGCCTCCCAGCATAGGACAGGTGTTTAGCCATCCACCCTTGAATCCTAGCGGTGACTCTCTCCACCAAAGGCCTACATTGAGCAATAGTAAGCTTCTTTGAAGAGAGAGGGACCCCAAGATACCTAAACGGAATGGAGCCTTGAGAAACACCAAGAAGCTCCCTCAACTCATTCTGAACCTCAACAGAGACACCTCCAAAGTAGACTTCACTTTTATCAAGATTAGCACAAAGCCCAAAGGCACCCGAGAATTTTGAGAAGGCTTGGAAGAGAAGCTTAACAGAAACACTATCAGCTCGAGAAAACATCAATAAGTCATCAGCAAACATCATGTGATTTAGGTTTAACTTTTCACACCTAGGGTGAAAGTTAAAGTCAGGAGACAACCGAAGCTCATCAAGGCATCTGGAGAGGTATTTCATACCAATAGCAAAGAGAAAGGGAGACATAGGATCACCTTGCCTTAGCCCTTTCTTAGCTTCAAAGGGGTGGGCAGGAAAACCATTAATAAGAATAGAATAAGAGACAAAAATAAGACAATTCCATATCCAATCAACAAATCTCTGAGGGAAACCAAGCTCTTGCATGACAGTGATCAAGAAACCCCACTCAACCGAATCATAGGCTTTCTTCAAATCCACCTTAACCATACACCTAGGAGAGATAAATTTGTGATCATAGCCTTTGATCAATTCAGTTGCAAGAAGAATATTGTCACCAATGTGCTTGTCAGGAATGAACCCTGCCTGAGCATCATCAATCACCTCACCAATGACAGCAGCAAGCCTAGCAGTTATGACTTTAGAAATGAGCTTATAGACCACAGTACAACAGGCTATAGGTCTAAAATCCTTAACATGAGAAGCAGAAAGGACTTTAGGGACCAAAGTAATAGTTGTACAATTCCATTGCCTAGGCAAAATCCCATTATTAAAGAAATCAATAACACTAGCATAAATATCATCTTTCACAATATGCCAAGCTCTCTTAAAGAAATAGGAGTTAAATCCATCAATACTAGGAGCTTTAGTGTTATCAATTCCCTTAAGGCCAGCATCAATTTCAACATGAGAGATAGGCCCAATGAGGTAGCTCTGAGCAGCAGAGCTAAGCTTCTTACCCCTCCGCATAGTAATAAGGTCAACAACAGGAAGCTAAGGAGCCTGAGTCCATAAAAGAGACTTATAGAAAGAGATAATTTCATGAGAGATAGCATCTGGATCCTTAAGCAACACCTGATTAGAATCAAAAATAGAATCAATTCTATTCCTTGCTTGCCTAGTCTTCATCACAGAAAAGAAGTAGTGGGAATTGCCATCTCCAAGCTTAACCCAATTAATCCTAGATTTTTGCTTGAAGATGCTTTCCTGAATATCATTCCAATGCTTGACAGCAGTAATAGCATCAGATTCTTTAGCGTATAAATCCAAATCATCAGGGTTCTGAGCCATTAAGGTTTGAATTCTAGAAAGCTCATCATTAGCCTGGTCAATCTTTTCCTCAATGTTGCCAAACTGCTTGCTAGTAAGAGATTTGATACTAGACTTTACAGAATTGAGCTTCTGCCAAACACAATTACCAGAGCCCCAAGCATGCGAAACAGTATCAAGAAAATCAGGGTGATCCGCAATACAGTTTAGAAACCGAAAAGGTCTACCTTTCCCCATAGGGCCAGAGCAAATATCCAGCAAAACAGGACTATGATCAGATAAAGAAGGAGGGAGATAAACAGTCTCCACATGCCCATGAGAAGCTAACCAAGCTTGATTACCAAAGGCTCTATCAAGTTTAGAGAGCGTTCTAGGGCCAGTATGAGCCTTATTAGACCAAGAGTAGAAGGACCCTTTGCTTTTGAGCTCAGTGAGGTCCAAATCATCAACCAAATTCTGAAAGTCTCTAGTCTCATAATCAGTAACATCAGCATCATGAAGCCTATCAGAAGCATGAAGAATAGAGTTATAATCACCAGCACAAAGCCAAGGAGAATGCTAGATAGAGATGCTTCTGAGCCCCTCCCACAAAGAAAGCCTATCATGAATGGAGTGAAGACCATAGACAACAGTGAGAAAAATCTGAGTAGAGAGATCCTTAGAAGAAACAGTACAATGAATGAATTGTTCATGAATCTTCAAAACATTAACTGTTACTCTATCCACATTCCAAACAAGTCAAATCCTCCCTTTGGGAGAATGATCATAATTGCACAACCAGAGCCAAGAAGAGCCAAACTTCTTCTGATAAGTGAGAACATTTTTCAACTTGATTTTTGTTTCAAGCAAACCAACAACATCAACTGAATGAGAGTGAAGCAACCTCCTTACAGAGGCAACTTTTCCAGGGTCATTCAGGCCCCTGACATTCCAAACAGAGTAAATCATGACACCAAAGGGGGATTAACCTCACCCCCGCTTGGATTAATAGTGAACCCACATGCACCATCCATTTCATTTGCAAACAAAGCAACAAAGGCATTAGAGGTAGAAGCAGGCTGATGAACTCTATTTTGCTGGCTTTTTGTTTTCCTCCCTACTATTCTCCAACCCTCATCTGAATTCTTAGATGTATGAACCTGTGGAGTAATAATAGATTGACCATGAACAGAAACCCCAACATCAACAGCAGTAGAAGGAGCAGGATCATTGGTAGGCTTAGGAGCCCAAACTTGCTTTTGCTTAGGAGGAATAGGAGCCGGTTGCTTAGAAGCCTGCTTAGGCAAAGGAGGCTTAACAGAGCAATCATGACCAATCTTGTTACACTTAGAGAAAAAAGAAGGAGCCCACTCATACACCACCCTGATCTCCAATAATTCCTTCAAAGGACTGTCAACCCACACAGAGGATGGCAAAGGCTTTGTAACATCAATCTCAATCAGAACCCTAGCAAAAGACACTCTAAGCTGTCTAGTAGTACACTCATCAGCACAAATTGGCACTCCAAGCAAACTACCAAGGCGGCTAAGAGTGTGAGATCCCCAACAATTAAGTGGTAGATTAGGGAATATAACCCAAAGAGGAATAGTTCTAAGTATTTCAGCATGAAAATCAAAATCAGGGCACCAAGGCTTCACTATTGCAGGCTTTCCAAAGAACATATGAGGACCAGAACAAAGAATAGTATCTCTATCATCACTAGAACACATATTGATAATAAAGTACCCATCATCATGCCAATACACATCTGGTTTTTGCATATCATTCCATTGTTGAGAAAAGAAACGAAAAACAGCAGCAATAGTAGGATAAAAGCTAACCGCATAAAAAACAAGAGCATTAGCCCATTTTCGATTACCTTCCTCAAGCTCGGCTGCTTGTAGCTCAGCAATTAGCTTCCCATCTTGCACTTTCGGAGCAACAAAGGATAGTGTAGCTCCTTTAGCAGCCAATTTCCCAAAAAAAGATGAAGCACGAGTCCCCTTCTACTCCAGAACAGGGGAAGCAGCACGGTTTTAAGAAGAATTGCGCGAGCTCAGCTCCAAGGCAGAAAAAGGAGCAACTCGATCTTCATTAATGTCATGCGCAATATGCTCCAGAGAGGTTGAGGAAGGAAATACAGCATGTTCTGTTGCACCACCAAGCCCAGATCCACCAGCATCCAATGGAACAGTAACCCCCGAAACCCTAGGTACTGTTCCATTGGATTGCTTCGATTTGGCCGAAGCTTTAGCAACTGAAGTAGCTTCAACATCCACAGGAACGTCGGAAATAGCACCACCAGCTGACTGAACTACCGTCGGCGCCGGAGTAAGCAGTTCATCCCCCTCTTGAATCGGGCTAGGAACAAAAGGGGTATTTGAAATCCCCAAATTCTTCAAAACCGAGCCAACAACTTCATGAGCAGCCTTTTGTTGCACAATTTGAGGTGTAGAAATAGCTTGCTTCTTCTTCTTCGCCATTTAAATCCAGATTTGATGAAGAAAACCAATCAAAAATGAAGAACCATGAAGAAGAGAGAGAAGAGAGAGAAGAGAGAAAGTCAACGAAAGTCAAACCTCAATTCCTTATGGCACTAGCCCCTGTGTACCTTCTTATAAATATAATGGAATTGTTTCTATTTTTGGAGGGAAAAAGACCCAACATTATGCACCTTATTAATACTATGAAAGTTCTATATGGGTCGTTTATGGTTACGCCACTTGAAAACGTATTTATTGTTATACCTAGTTTACTGACGTTTGATAAATGGTGATAAGAATTGTCATTAGTGGAAGTCCTACAAATGGGGTACATTATTAAATTGTTAAGTATTAAACACTAAAATTGAATGTATGTAGTGCAACCATGATTTTTGGAATGCGTTGTTCATCATATAAGCATCAATGGAATGACATGTTGACACACTAAAATTCAATCCAACCATGATTTTTTGAAATGCCCTGTTCACACACATGCAAATACTATTTGCGCTTTTTTTCCTCACATGAACAACTCGTGTCTTGCTATAAATACCCACACTAATAGAAAAAATGCTATTTGTAACTGGCAAAATTGAATTTTTGTAACTGGCATTGTTGGCTGCGAACGCCACCGTTACAACTAGTGAAAATTATTCGTAACTGGCTAATGTTAGTTACAAATAATGTACTATTCGTGACTGGCTTAACCTAACGCCAGTTACAAAAAGTCTATTTTTCAAGTTAAAAATCATACTATTCATAACTATCATTAAGTTACGTTGGTTACAATTAGGGTATTATTAGTAACTGGAAGATCTTAACCCCGGTTATAAATATATATTTTTTATTTTTTCTAAAAATACTATTAGTAACTAGCATTAGATTACGCCAGTTACTAATAAATAAACAATTTTTTTAAAATAAATATTTAATTCGAATACAAGAATGGTACTATATCCTACCAAACGACCCATCGTCAAATGGGTTACAACCTATTATAACCTGTTACAATTCAACCAAAAAAACACGTACTCTAAATAATTCCACATAACTTGATTCACCCACAACCTACAATACAATCATACACTCCATATAATTCCATACAACTCGAATTCATTCACAAAAAAAAAAAAAAAAAAAAAAAAAAAGCACTTGAATAAAAAATTATTAATTTACAATTTAGAAATGTAATAACAATAACCAAAAGGCTAAATAAAAGTAGATATATATAAACGTGTTTTACTGTTTTAGTAAGCTAAATGTGATTAATCATAACATCGATCAACAAGATAACTAGTTTTTTTTTTCAAAAAAAAAAAAATTAAATCTAAAAAACTTAGCCCCGCCAATTCTACATCGTTGTAGGCCATAGGTCGTGACAGTACTCCTGCAAATAATACATAAAACGCACCAGATTAATTTTTTTGATGAATGCAAAATAACTATCAATTACATATGACTTGTCTATTTAATTGGATGTTGTGTAATAACAGCTTCATTATTTGGGACAACTCTGAATTTCGACCGTTCAAAGGTGATTGAACAATAGAATCAAACTTACGCTAGTCAATCACATAGATTACACAATGGTTCCTACATTACAATAAGTTTGTTTGTATTATTCACATAATTAAAATAAAATATTAAGAAATAAAAAAAAGTTTGTCACTGGCATATGACTATGATGATAAAATGTGAAATATGACAAAATGTGATAAAGAAATATGCAAATCTACAAGATATACTTAGATTATCTTTGGCCTTCTTCAACTAACACTATGTTTGGATATAGAGAAATGGAAGGAAGAGAAGAGAAAGGAAAACGAAGGATGAATCATCCTTTATTTGGATAGCTAATACATGGAGAGAAGGAGAGGGAATTGGAAGGATCCATTTTCCTTCCCCTTTTAATAAACCAAATCTCTTCATTGTTGGAGGATTTGGAGGGAAAATGGAAGCTCCCTTCTCCCTTCCCTCACATCTCTTTCCCTTCCCTCACATCTCTTTCCCTTCACTATTGTTATCCAAATATAGTGTAAGTTTTTCATTGATCTTCCCAAGCCAACATATACTTGTAGTTGATTTTGAAATAGTGAAAATTGCAAAATAAGATTAAAGAATAGATATATGCATGCTACAAGACTAAAAAAAAATATGTTACAATTGCAACCATTAAATCAAATTATCATTTTAGCATATTTGTCAAATTGATACACAACTTACCAAGAGCTAAATTTCTAACACGATCAACAGATATTAGATTATAAAATTATGTTGTTCAACAAGAAACAAACATAAGGCTCTTCTTGTATGTTGTATGTGAGGATTTTTTAGCAAACTACGCATAAGACGCATCAAAGCAAACAGCTGATTAAAATCCCCTAGATCACGACCAACCTAGCATAAAAGCAGTCAATGTTAGCTGACATTTTATGATGAAATATTCCAACACAACCTTTTTTCCAAAACTTGGAGAACTTTAGGTAGTACCTCCTCGACTATGAAACATGTAAAGTACAGGACTAAGGGATGAAGCCCAGTATCTGGCTTGACAAACTAATTAATGCTTCCTTGAAAAAAATGGTTTTAGAACCTCTAATGTCCACGTCCATATCCTCAATGTAGAATGAATAAACTGGGAGGGACAAATTAAAGAAAGACAATAGAATCAATAGAATGGGGCAGGACAAAGAAATCCCTGCAATTAGTTGCTCTCCACTAAAAATAATAAATAAATGAATAAAATCACTCTAATCAGAAAATTGATAAATGGACAGCTAAGTTCTTTTTTAAAAAAACAAAACAATGTACTACTATGAGAGTTAAAATATTGATGTGCAATAAAGCCAACAATTGAGCGACAAGCTAGATCATCACAAAAGAATAATATGTCCAATATATATATATATATATATAGAAATGGGATCATGTGAGAACCTAAGCTTAGAATAGGAACTAGGAACTAATGTGGTGCGTTGATCGTCCTTAATCCAATGGCTGACATCCCACCCGCCTTTTTTATGTCAGTAATGGTATTTTGGTAATTTTGTCACTTTGAATGACCTCCTTTCTTTCTCTCTCACTTCACATCCCTATTTTCTCTCTCTAACCTTGAGTTCTCCGCTCGCGACTTCAGCTCTTTGAATAGCAAATTTTTTGCCCAGATTTTTCGATTTTCATCCTCAATTACATCGCATTCTTCGATTTTTTTCATTCATTGAGGTAATTTTAGAATTATATTTGTATTTTCGTTGTTTATTTTGATTTCATATCATGGCTAATTATTACGTGTTTTCCTATTTTATGCTTTTTTTTTTATCTTAGTTTTTATCAATTTTGGTAATTGAGGTAATTTTCTTATAGCGTGTGTAGGGAATATATCAAGCATTACCCCAAACTTGAACCCCACTATGATTATACACTTAAGTACGGTGGCATCCAAAGGGAAAGAAGATAGAGCAAAAGAGTCGCCAACAAGTTTTAGGAACTTGTAAACCGTTCACGAGGTGAAGGTTACACCCCTTAACGATCCAGGAGATCGTCAACTCCAATAGGTCTGGAACCATGACAGGTAGTTTGGGGATGAAGGAACAAATCTAACCTAAAAGAGATTGAACCTGCCCTAATAATAGGCCTCTACTTTATTCTGATCGTATTCATGTGCGCTTTCTATCTAACATGCAACCAATAGGATTAACCCTAAACCTGTTTAATCTATGTTGGTTGAATATTAATGCACAGATAAATCTACTATTGGCGATCACTTGAATTATAATCATATTAACCCTAAACAAGATTATTATTTATCTTATTAAGCGTGATTACAAGTATCAGTTCCCTTTAAACATGCATAAAAGGCGTGATCAAGCAATAACAATAATAAGTATCAAGCAACATAATAATCATCATAAATAATCATAATAATAATAATTAAAATAATCATATTAAAGCATAATAATAGCAAGATCCTAGGCATGATACTAACAAGATTAATAACAAACCCTAGCATGTCACTAAGCAATAAAAATCAAAGCTTTAACCCTAACATGATACTAACATGAATATTAGGAAGACAAATAGGAAGCATCGCAGGAATCACAATTGTCATATTTGATATTAGAAATTATAGTTGTTACCCTAAACATGATACTAGAAAAATCAAAACGCCCTAACATGACACTAGGAATCATAATAACAACCTAAACATGATTTCTATATCCTAATATCAATAAAATCAATTAAATCACTTACTTGGATGCCTCGTATCTCTTTCTAATAACAAAATACACACGTTAGTAACTTCAAGGAAAATATAAAATCAAAACAATTAAATTAAATAATTGAAAGAGAGATTTGGGACCAAACCCTAAGAAATTAAAATCTTTAACGTCTAGGGCGAAGGCAACTTAGAACTTGGCTAGGTGTTTCTAGATCTTGTGAATGCGGAATTATGTATGAAAAAGGCTAGTTTAGAAAAGAGAGAGAGAGAGAGCATAAGCTTAGAGAGAGAGCACTGGAGAATTAATTGTTGTTGATGATTGAAAACGGATTTTTAGGAGGCTATTATAGAGAAAATTTGCCGGATGGATAGTAAAACGAATCAGAGTTAAGAGAATAAAACGACTTAGCGCTAGACGCCAGACATTAGCGCCAGACGCTAAGGCTAGCGCCAGACGCCAAGCCTTAGTGCCAAGCGCTAATCCTGTCGACAGGCGCTAGAAATAGTTTTCACGGGTTTTCTTAATTTTGATAAAATTTATTCGTACAGAAGGGCAAAATCGTATTTTCCTTAAAAACACTTCTTTTATTCTGATCAAAACTCTAAAAAGTCAACTAAAGTCAATTTATCAATGCTAATTAAATTAGGAATGAAAAGAACCTTCTACAAGAATCTAGAAGACTATAATCAATTCTAATTGCATTAGGAATGATAAATCAATATTAGGCCCTCCTTTAGATCATTGGGCCGCATATAAATATCAAACCGGGCCCAGTTTAGT